TAGCAATTATAATATTTAATTCAAATCATTTCTAACATCTTCAATTGGTAGAACTTATATTTTATTCTTCCTTTTTCTTTTTCTCCTTTTTTTTTTGTCTTATATATCAAAAAATTGAAAGATATGCTTTTCTTAAAAAAAGAATTACTTGTTTTGCAGGTTGTGGTTTCAAATTTAGAGGAATTGTACTTGTTTGATATTAAAATAAATCAGTTGTGGATAACATTTTCCTACACTGCGACTTCTCAAGAAATCTTGAATTTCAGAAAGCTTAAAAGTCTACAAATTACTATTTATAGCAGCTTAGAATACCTTTTTACCCCTTCCATGGTATTAGGCCTTGGGCACCTCGAGGACTTGTATGTATCACAGTGTAGAGATTTGAAACAAGTGATTATGGTAAAAGGAGTTGAGGAGGTAGTGAACACAGAGTTGATATTCCCACGGCTAAACTCCATTGACCTATCTTCTTGTGACAAGTTGTCAAGTTTCTATGCTGGAAGTTCTGCACTCAAGTTCCAGTTGGGCATAAAAATTACCATAATGAGATGTCCAAAAATGATTACATTTGTTTCTACATTTTCAACAGAGCAAGAGAAAGAGACAGCTTATCGAGGAGTTGAGGGACATCTTGGAAAGAAAAAACCTGATATTCGTAGTCAGATTATATTCTTTGATACGGTTAGTTTTCTCTTCACAAATTTAGCATTTAAAGCAATTTTAATTATCATTACTCACAGACTATAATTTTCACTTCTTCTCAACATCACTCTTGCTCTATTTTATTCAATTAAAAAAAGCTAATTATATTGCTTACAAATTTAATAAGTCATTTAAATGTATTTCAAAACAGAAACAAAATGCACATAATACTTCTTCTAGTCATATTTAATTGTCCTATTTTATTTATTTATGATTGCTAAGGCTCTGTTTAAAATAAATTTAATTTTGAATGTTTGGTTTAGTTTTGAAAATTTTAAAATCCTAAAAATAAAATTAAGAAGATTTATAAATTAATTAATTTGAAATTTTAAGTATTAATTTTAAAATTTTATATTTAATACGTTGTCAATTTTAATTTTTAATGTTAATCTTTAAAATTAATAAATTTTAATTATTAATTTTAAAAATCAAAACAAAAAATTAACAGTTATAATTCCTTGAAACTAAGCTTAAAAAATTAAGAAAATGTACTGCAATCTTCATTTGGCCGTAAAGAAAAATGTAGGAGAGGTGGTCTAGATCCGTGTTCCACTGCCACGTGGATCC